TCGGAAGAGAGGATGTAATTATTACTAAATGATCTGGTGAGTCTTAAGTAATTGAGTTAAAGTTTCTGTATCTCTGTGTGCTGTTGTAGGTCACGAGGCCTGCCCAAATTGAAGGAGTCCTGTTCCCATGAGTCTTTGCTGAGTCCAGGCAGTGCTGTTGAAGCTCTGGATCTGAGTATGGAGGAGGACGTCTACATCAAACCTTTACACAGCAGCATTCTAGGACAAGACTTCTGCTTTGAGGTACAAACTTCACCTCTTAGCATTATTCCCATGATCACATTGACATTTATATGTAGACTACCATTCAAGTTTGTGTAAGATTTTTTATTCGAAATCTTACGCTTTCCAAGACTGCATTTATTTGATGAAAAATGAATTAAAACAGTAATATTGTGAGATATTATTACAATGTAAGCTAACCGTTTTCAATTTTAATACATTTTAAAATGTAATTTATTCCTGTGATGGCAAAGCAAAATTTTTAGCAGCCATTACTCCAGTCTTTAATGTCACATATTCCTTTAGAAATCATTCAAGTATGCAAATTTGGTTCTCAAGAAACATTTCTTATTATTATTAATGTTGAAAATATTTGTGTATTTTAAGATTTGTTTTGGAAAACAATCCATTTTTCCAGATTCTTTAATGAATTGAAAGTTCAATAGAACATAATTTATTTGAAATAGAAATAAATGGTTTTTATTGATCAATTTAATATGTCCTTGCTGAATAGAAATATACTTTTCTTTCGAAAACAATAAATACAAATCTTACCAGCCCCAAACGTTTTACAATGGTGTAACTATCTTGACATCACAAGTAAGTACAACCACATAATATTTTGGAAGGGTTATATTAGATACAGTTCAGTTATTTATAACATTTGGATTAAATGAATGATTTACTCTATGAATGAATTGCTGAATTTCTCGCCCTCTTCACGTAGGTGGCATACTCAGGTGGAAGTAAGTGCTTCAGCTGCTCCTCTGCTGCTGAACGGGACAAATGGATGGAGAACCTCAAGAGAACTGTGCAGCCTAATAAGGTAACAAAGATGCTTGTTTTTTTTAATCAATGCAAAATCATGCATGCTTGTTTTATACTTAAAATGAGCTTCTGTGGTTCAATCCGTGTCATTCCATCACCAGGACAACTGCAGACGAGCGGAAAACGTCCTCCGTTTGTGGATCATCGAGGCCAAAGATCTGCCACCGAAAAAGAAGTATTTCTGTGAGCTGTGTCTGGATGACGTGCTGTACGGCCGCACCACCAGCAAAACCCGCTCTGACTGCCTGTTCTGGGGCGAACACTTTGAGTTCTCCGGCGTTCCGTCCATTAAGAGCATCACTGTACACATCTATCGTGATGTGGACAAGAAAAAGAAAAAGGACAAAAACAACTATGTGGGCCTGGTGAACATACCGGTGCAGGGAGTAATGGGAAGGCAGTTTGTGGAGAAATGGTATCCGGTCAGCACCCCCACCACCAGCAAAACCAAAGGTGGAGGCCCCTCCATCCGCATCAAATCTCGCTTCCAGACTGTCTCCATCCTGCCCATGGAGCAGTACAAGGAGTTTGCGGAGTTTGTGACCAATAACTATACTATGTTGTGCTCTGTGTTGGAGCCTGTCATCAGCGTGAAGAACAAAGAGGAGATGGCCAGTGCGCTCGTGCACATACTGCAGAGCACGGGACGGGCAAAGGTATGATGCCAATTGAGATCTCAATACCTTAAACTAGCTATAATCACTTGTTTATGACTAGAAGTTGATTGAACTTTCTTTATTAGGACTTCCTAACGGATCTGGTGATGTCAGAGGTGGATCGCTGTGCTGATCATGACGTGCTGATCTTTAGGGAAAACACGCTAGCCACCAAAGCCATTGAAGAATACCTCAAATTGGTGGGACAGAAGTACCTACATGATGCACTAGGTAAGTTAAACGTTTACCTTGGTGTATTTATTAAGAAGCTTGTGTAACAAGAAGACCCTTTACTTATATGTTTGTGTTTGCTTTGTAGGAGAGTTTATTAAAGCCCTTTATGAGTCAGATGAAAATTGTGAAGTAGACCCATCGAAGTGCTCCAGCAATGAGCTTCCAGATCACCAAAGTAACCTGAAGATGTGCTGTGAGCTGGCCTTCTGCAAGATCATCAACTCTTACTGGTAACTTTTTCAGTTCCTAGAACTTGACATAATTTATGTACAACATGAACTTCAATAGTAGCTAAGCAGAAGCTTGAACAACAACAGAAACAAAGTAAAGAATATACTGTATGTAGGGTTCATAGTAATTAAAAACTGTGATTTTCATCAAATGTTCTTCTTCAAAAATTCAGCAATTGGAAAAGTTTTACATTTTTTTTCCAGACTTTTTTCCAGATCATGGTTATAAATTCAGATTTACACTATCATTCAAAAGTTTGGGGTCAGTAAGATATTTTTTTTTTAAGACATTACTTTTATTCAGCAAGGATGCACTAAATTGATCAAAATTTGAATCATTTTTATAAAGTGACAATTATGAAGACAGTTATAACAAATAATGTACAAAATTTCTATTTCAGATAGATTCTTATGAGTTCTTATGAGCTTTATCCTGACAAAAATGTATCATGGTTTCTACAAAAATATCAAGTTTTCAACATCGATAATAAAAACAAATACTGGTTTCTTAAGGATCATGTGACACTGTAATGGCTGCTGAAAATTTAGGTTTGCCATTACAGGAATAAATTACATTTTAAAATATATTAAAAAAAAAAAAAAAAACGTATTTAAATTGTAATAATATTTACCGTCTTGGCGAGCATAAGAAACATCTTTCAATAACATAAAGAATATTGCCGACCCCAAAGTTTCGAACAGCAGTATGTTTATGCAGTTCACAATGTTTCTACTGGTAACTAGAAATACAACTTCATTGCTCTTGTTTGTAGTTTGTTCATATGCTCATGCTTACAATTGCATTAGTTCCATCCTAACCTGCTGCTGTGCTCTGGTCAGTGTTTTTCCACGGGAACTGAAGGAGGTGTTTGCATCATGGAAGCAGCAGTGTCATGCTCGAGGGAAGCAGGACATCAGTCAGCGTCTGATTAGCGCATCGCTCTTCCTGCGTTTCCTGTGCCCTGCCATCATGTCCCCTTCGCTCTTCAGTCTCATGCAGGAATACCCAGACGACCGTACCTCTCGAACACTCACCCTCATTGCCAAAGTCATCCAGAATCTCGCTAACTTTGCCAAGTATGTCAGGAACACTCTTCATACAGTACACAGTGATTACTTCATAAAATTCATAATATGTACATAGTTTCAGATTTTGGCTTCGTTTTGTTATGGAAATCAGGTGACACTTACATAATCAGTGTATGGCAAAATTCTCATTTAATATTATGTATTAATATTGGACTATTCTTGTGTGTGTAAATGCAGTGTCTGTCTGCCTTTGAGCACTCTCAGTACTATTGAATTTCTTATGCATTTCATATTCTCTGTTGCATCAGATTTGGAAATAAAGAGGAGTACATGGCCTTCATGAATGACTTCCTGGAGCACGAGTGGGCTGGTATGACCCGTTTTCTGCTCGAAATCTCGAATCTTGAGACTATCTCAAACACCCCGGGCTTTGAGGGCTACATTGACCTGGGCCGTGAGCTGTCGGTGCTACACTCACTACTGTGGGAGGTGGTGTCTCAGCTGGACAAGGTACAGAAATCACTCCAAACCATTATACTGCAACAATACCTCTTACAACAAAATCTACCGTAGGCTAATGTCTGGTTTTACAGAGATTTACAACAGCTGAGCTTCAATTTGTTCAAAAGGCGTGACAGTGGGGGGTGTAAAAACACACCTGCCTACAAGAGATGTTATGTAAACCTCTTGCACTCAGTAATTTTTTTTTTCTTTAAAACGTTTGACAGAAAAAAATAGTGATTACCAGGGCTGGAAAAAAATAATGGATTTCTCAATTTTAATCGATTCTTATTTTTACGAAACAATATCGATTCTTAAAGGGGTCCTATTATGCTCTTTTACAAAGTCGTGATTTTGTTTTGGGGGTGTACTACAACAGGCTCTCATACTAGGTTGTTCGAAAAACACATTATTTTTCACATATTTTACATTATTACAACACCTCTCTCCCCAGTCTGGGATGAACGGCTCGAATAGTTCCTGTATCAAATAAAGGCCCGCCTTCTGAAATACGAAATGTGCTGTGATTGGTTAGCTGGGCCAGTGTGTGTTGTGATTGGCAGCACTCGGCGCCTGGTCGGGAAATGTCACGCCCCTTACCGTAGCCACCTGCAAGCTTCAGTGTAAAATATTGAGTCAAAATCAAATCAATTTGAGCTTGATTTAAACCCGGATGATTGTAACCACTCTAAGTTCGTCTGCCTTGGGAAACCTAGCGTGTCTACGACATAGTGATAACACTCGTTGCCTTCTCTAGTGCAGCTCAACCAG